TGGCGGCCATGTTTTATGCATAAACCCCATTATGGTGTTGGCGTGGGTGTGAAAGCTGGTAGTTATCCCTAGGGTCGGCACTAATTGAATTCCGACTTTAATTTTGTGTTTTTTGCTTCTGTCCTGCTGTCTTGGATCTTTCCCCTGCATGCAGTCAGCGAATACAATGCCTGCTCGGTAAGATACTTGTATGAACACTAAACAGCTTATACTGTAGGCAACGTCCACTGGCCCAAGAGCACTCAATACGTTGTGTGGAACTCCGTGTTTCACGCAGAGTGATCATCAGCCAGCAGGTTGTTGCCTGATGATGGCTCAGCGTGACACCCATGGAGTTTCAACCAGCCGTCACTGACCTCTTTGCATGAACAGCTTATAGAGTGGCTTCACATGTTTGCCATGTGACTAAATTTGTGCAGAAAGTGATCATTTCATGTGGACAGTGGAACCAACATGGCTGACATCATATGAACCATAGATGCAGTGGTTGGGTGGAGTCGGAACCAACACGGCTGTCCCGTATGGTCATGTGGCATACATGTATGGTATCTGAAATTATGCATAAGTCAGCTGTGTCACTAGGGTGACTGGAAACGGACTGTGTGAGAGCAACGCTCACATTATCTCGTGCTGTACCCGTTCATATCATCCCCCTAGGTACCAAAAACCCTGCCCCGTTGTCAATCCAGGGGCGGCTATGCGATGCGTATGCAGTGCTCTCTAGTATGGTACAGTCCGACATGTAATAGAATTGGTGACTGGCTCTGTAGTTTCCAATATTGTTGAGAACTACTACCACCAGTTTTTTTTAGGAATACTGTGAAGTCGTTTGCCAGGAAATCCAGCACTGCTTTCCCTCAAGTGCAAAATCATTCATTTACTACGACATGCAGCTTTAGTCATTTACATGCAGTTACTTCAGTACTCCTGTGTAGTTGAGGAAACACATCGCCATAGCGAAACAACAAGGTAGAGAATTGGGATGCGCAACTAATACATTTTCCTGTTGTGCTTTGTTCTGGCAGGGATCGTGTCCGATTGGATGCGAGCGCCAGTGCCGTCAGCCAATCGTGACGGCCTGCTCCGCCGGCCAGGAGTGCGTTGTGCCCAGTGCGCTTGGCCGGTGCATCGGTTAGTAAGGATTGCTAGTGCAAGGGCATGTTCAGTGTTCAGACATGCACAGCATGGCTCTGTTTAAAGGGGAAGTTAAGGCTAAAATCAAAATTTCACCAGTTGTAGTCTTTGGGGTGCTGAGTCGAATGGTCTTGGTTCGAGAAAGCTGAGACGCTCCCTTCCTACTTTAATCCCAATTGAACTCGCGCACTTCCACCGAAACTGGGTGACTGCGCCCTACTAGATGGGGATTTGTATTCAAAATGTCACTAAAAGCGCCATGTCGTTCTTATAAAAGCACGGATGACCGCGATTGGCCCATATGTTGTAGTCTTTTGGACGCTGAGTCGACTGGTTTTGGTCCGAAAAGGCTGCGATGCAGCGTTCCTCCTTTATTCCCAATCGAACATGCTTGAACAAGCGGTCACGTGCTCCTGGGTGCCCAAATCACCTGGTCACCATGCCAGCAGGCGGCAACTTTCACACCAAGGTTCAACTCGAGTTCAACTCGAGTGACAGGACTGCACCCAAAAAAGGTCAAACAGGCTAGTAAGTTGTACCCTGCAGGCACGGTGACTAGGTGACTGGTGTATGCAGGAGCACGTGACCGTTTGTTCAACCATGTTCGATTGGAAATACAGGAGGAACACTGCATCGCAGCCTTTTTGGACCAAAACCAGTCGACTCAGCGTCCAAAAGACTACAACATATGGGCCAATCGCGGTCATCCGTGCTTTTATAAGAACGACATGGCGCTTTTAGTGACATTTTGCATACAAATCCCCATCTAGTAGGGCGCAGTCACCCAGTTTCGGTGGAAGTGCGCGAGTTCGATTGGGATTAAAGTAGGAAGGGAGCGTCTCAGCTTCCTCGGACCACGACCATTCGACTCAGCACCCCAAAGACTACAACTGGTGAATTTTGATTTTAGCCTTAACTTCCCCTTTAAATCCAATTTAGGCCGTATGAGGCCCAAAATCTCAATTCTAGCTCAGCTGGAAATGGCATTTGGACCAGCATCTCGACACAATTATCAATGCTAAATCCAGCCGAAATACTCAAAACCCAGTCGAAAAATAACTTCGTTCTTTATCCACGTCGTTCAATATGGTCCACCTTTTTGGAGAATAGACATCCAAAACACAATTGCAAGAGCATTCCATACTGCATAGCGACAACAACTGGAAACAGTTAACCATTGACCCATTATTGTTCAAAAGCAAGATTATCACCATTTTTCTGAACAGACCATAGATGGCCTGGAATGAATGGACAATATAGATCAAGAGCGTGTGTGCTCATCACTACTCTTTGGACTATGATATAGCTTTAATCAGGAGACTTCATGCAGTTTGCTATTGTATGTGTTGTGTTATTGTGTGGTGTATATGTTTGACTACCTCTGACACACCGTTGCAGTGGGCAAGGCACCTGCTATCAGTTGTGACCAGTCGTTTGTGCAAGGCAGTCTACCAGACTCGTCGTCTAACCCAAGATTAGAAGGTCAGCTTCCTAGGTATTCAATGGCTGTGTCTTGTGTATCAACTCATTATGATGACACAAGTCAGCAATGGAACTAGGCTGAATTTTAAGCTGTAACTCTGAGTTCCACGGCTATCTGCAAATCCTCAGACAGCAATGATGATATTAGTGGAAAGTGCCTCAGTAGGGTTATACTCATTATGATAGTCCTGGCCAGACCGGGAATTCAACCTCATGAATAAAATAGGCTAATAGTTGATGCGTGCATGCCACTGAGAACTAAAGTAGGAATTGCTTTTGTCTGGGATCACACGACCAGTACGCATTGTACAGTTGACTGTTTCCAATAGCTGACGACCATTGTTTGTCTATATCTGTTGATTACATCACAGTCCAAGGTCCTAGCTGTCCAACCTGCACTATGCTCGATCCAGAGAGTGCATGTTCCAATCAATACCACTTCCGTAAGTCACCAGCACACCAGTCACGGCTTGTTTTCCGATGGCCACTTACGTTTTGTAGCTGCCGCCGCCGCTGCTGCTGCTGCTGCCATCACTATCATTATGTGATGGCACTGATAGGTATTGCTGGATCAAGTCGTGTGGGATTGGGCACATTTTCTTTCCCTTTTCCTTATGTACGCCAGGCCTTGACCAAAGTTTATGTGTGGGCTTTCCATTCCTTCCCTTTGCAGTGATTCGCGGGAAAGTCCTGCGTCGCAGTACAGACAGCTACACGATACGCGTCAAGAGTGTCCTGTTCAACGCACACAACATCACGGTTCCGGCCAACAACACGGTCACGATGCTGCGCAAGCGCCCACTGAACAGCGCGCAGACGGTGCCCACCAGCTGCGCTTGCCCGGTCATGCATGAGGGCGCGCAGTACGTGATCGCCGGCTATGCGCGCAACGGCAAGCTGTCGCTGCGCAACCGCCGCTCCGCCACCATGGTGTACAGCGGTGTAGTGCAGAGCCGTCGGTACGTCGATTGGCTGGCGCAGCGCATGCGGCACTGCCACGAGCGCACTGAGACGGACCCGAGCACGCTGGGCGAAGTCGAAGAGTGGGACCAGGAAGGCAATGCCGTAGGCGACGGCTCACATCTCTGGCGCAGCCTGGTACGCATGCTTGATAACAGCGGTGGCGGTGGTGATGCCATGCCAACCATAGCTCAGCCCGAGGCCATAACGCCTGTCCAGCCTACAATATCCACAGTGGGCCGTTGGGAACGATCAGCGATTGATGCTCCAATGGTACGATATCACGCACGGTTAAAGGACATTGAGGAGTCGCAAGTCTGGCAGACAGCAGTCGACATATCGCCAAATCATCCCCGTCGTGACCACCGAGCAATATCATAGAAGCCTCTGCAAAGCCTCTGATGACCAGCTATCACTGTATTCCTGGACTGTTTGAAGACTTGATTCCTGGACTGTTTGAAGATTTGATTCCTGGACTGAGACACCATGCGGCTAACATGCTGCCAAAAAGTCATGCTAAACTCACAGCTGAGCATAATCAGCCGCTTGAACCAAACAACCTGCAGACCATCATCATCATGCTACATGAATAGCAATGAGCCGTGACTGATGCTGTCCACACTCTGTTGCCAGTGTGCTTGAGTTTTGCCTTAAAATGTTTGACTGGACGTGCGTTTCAGAGTGATATGCGCTGGCTCTTCTTTCCGGCTTGGCTTCTGCCTCCATTGATAACCGTTTTAAGCTGCAGTCATCGGTTGTGAGCACTTCCTGCAGCAGTTGAGTTCAGCCCGCGCAGTGGCATGTGTGCATACGCCGCCAACGATGTCGTGACCCTTGCCGGTTTATTGTTCAAGCTGCATGAGAGTGTGTGCATGGAAGCTATAGCGGGCCAGGCTAGCACATCCGTCTGCGGCGTTGTTGCTGTGAATACTTGAATCCACACATACATGATGTACGTGCTTCCTGCTAATGAGCCGCCGATTTCTGAAGTTCATTTATGCTGCTTGATCTGAGTCACATAAATTGTGCATCGATTTTAATCCTCGAGCATCTTGATGACATGTACTACTACATATTCTTGACATTCGAAACTAGGCAAGTCGTTTTAATGGCAATGTGAGCGCCGGGCTGAGGGGTCACCCGTTATCAGCTCGATTTGGGTCATACAATCATACGAGGACTGTTGTGCGGATTAACGGTGAACAAGTAGCTAATAATTGTTGTTAGCCACACCGTGTTCTATATGCCGGTGTCGCGGGTGATTAGCCGCCCCGTTGCCCAGTCCTGACCGATCATGGCTGCAAGCTTTCTGCTTGATTCTGGCCCCCATAAGGGAGTTGTAATATACGCCGGTATTTTACAACTCCTTGGTCCCTATTGTATCACTATAGATGGTACCGGTATGCCGGAAACACCTGTTGCCAGGGAACGGGTATATGGATTCAGTATTTCCTCCCATTTTTGAAACTTCAAATATTTTTGGCACCGCGAAGACGGAGAGTTTGCCCAAGGTTAATTTCACTTGAATATTCCGAAGGGTGTTACCCTTACCATGAGCCGCAAGTTCTTGGGGGGTCACCAGGCATTTTATCGCTTCAGCGGAAAAACACGCGTTCAAAATTGCATATCGTATTACCAAGAGTGCATAAACATTGTTTATGGACTCTTGTCATTACTGTATTGTATATTTTAGGCCTGCAAAGTGGCCAAGAATATTTGTGAAAAAAGGAAAGAAAGCAACAAACCAGAAAGCCTTTCTTCAGCTTCACTTTGTTATCATGGTTCAGTATGCCTACTGCACTGAGCAATCAAAAGCAAGTAAATATTTTAAATTATTGAAAAAGAAAAAAAAGTTGCCCAGGATGGGATTCGAACCCACAAACTTCGATCACGGCGGAAAAAAGGTCTTCAAAAGTGGTGGGTTCGAATCCACAACCAGGGAATGATAATACTCCCGGGATCCCTGCACCCAGGTACAAACCTGGGTTTGCAGATCAACCACTCCCGATCCCGGGCCCTCCCTGACATGACCACACCACCATCATCACTCGTATCGTAGTCGTAGTCGTAGAGTCTACGCGGTGCCAGAGCAGGAGGAGAGGCAGATTGCCAAGAAAAGTCACTTGATTACAAAAAAAAGTAGTTAGTTGAACTCAGAAGTATTTGCTACAGTTTATTACTCGTAGTTGGTTCCATGGACCATAATCGAAAGCTGCGCGGGCGAATAGCCAAGGCTTCAGTGCAGACAGCGTTTATCTTCCTGTAGTGTTTTGTGAGATTTGCCTTCATTCCCCTCTCTTTTTCTAAGCCGTTCTCCTTGTTCCTGTGAACGACAGGTGTCACCACGATTTGAAGTATCATCAAAGTTTTCAATATTTTTGATTTCAACCTGTGGGTTGTGTTGTATCATTACTGTGGAATCATCGAGGCCTGTGTGAAGGCTGTCAGCTCACAAGTAAGTCCCACGATGCTCAATGGAACTGATGGAGGAACCAGTTTTCTTTCGCATTCATTACAGCTCTCACTTGTACCCTCTCTGCCTCTTCCACGTTTTCAAAACATTTTTATTAGGAATTGGGTGAATTCTGTGGGTACTGTTCCAGAAATGGGGGGGGGGGGGGGCAGGGGGCAGTTTGTACACTCTTGTACTTGGCGTGGCCTATGGCTGAATTCTTTGTTGCCCTCAACTTTTCTGAAGCTCACGAGTCATACGTTTACTTTTCTGAAGATCACGAGTCCTACCGTACAAGCCGTGCACTTTGAGACCGTGCCCATGCCGTGAACTGGGTCGGGTTTCATGTCTGCTAAACTTGCACTACGGAAACAAGCTACAACACTCGGGAGAAAGTTAAAATCTTGTTTTTGAAAACGTCAAATTCACAAACTCGCGGTTAAGGCCGGCGGTCAGAGCGTGTTTTGACGACGTGTGTCCTGCTTTCTGTAAATGCGCGACGTCAACAGAAATTTCCGCCGCGGACATGACCAGCTGCGGAGATGCACACTCTGTTTCATATACTCTTGTTAGTAGAGATAGTATTCCTTAACAAGTTGCATGACCTGCTTCTCTATAATTTAACCTTCAGGGTCATTGTAGCTGGTCCGGTCTTACAAGTAACAATGTTTCGGCAAAATCGCGAAGAATCAGAGTATGGCTGTTGCAGAGTTCAGAGAAAGAACAGATCTGTTAGCTTTTCTTCCTGTAACTCAGAGTGTCTGTAGAAAGGCAGCAGTGCTAGCATGCACGACCCTGTACAGTACTAGAAACAATACAATGTGTTGTTTGTGTCTTCTTCTGCTCAGTGGTGAACACGCCTCTGCCGCAGAACCTTGAAGATGAGTGCAAGAAGGCGGCGAAAATCCTGAAGTCCTTCACCATGGACAAGGTGTCGTCGGGCGGCGTCGACCGTGTCATCCCGCCGACCATGATCGCCAAGGCAAAGGGCCTGGCCATCTTGACGGTGGTCAAGGCAGGCTTTTTGGTGACGGCGCGCGCCGGATCTGGCCTTGTGGTGGCGAAGCTCGCGGATGGAAGTAAGTCCCATATGACTAGTGCTGGTGCGGGGACTCGGCCCCTTGGCTCCCTGTTGTATCTACTTACTGGTACCTGCTTGCTTGATCATTGATGCTTGATACTCATGCTTGATAGCTTGATTGTACCATCAACAGTCAAACGTGCGTACATAGGAATGAGCCGACGGACAACTTACGGGCTGTAGTTTTGACTAGGGCTCAAACAGTTAGTCCGATTAACCGGTTGCAGACCGGTTACGAAGGATTAACGGTCAACCGATAAAGATAACGGTTACGCAGTAACTTTTCAGTCAATTTTTCAAGTATCAGGTCGTTGCAAAGTATACACTTTCGCAGGCTGTCGCACGCGTACGCAATTTCTGGGTTGTCAACTCGGTCATATCTGGTCTCTTGGTGTGAGAGTATGTATGAATGAGCATGCAAGAGAATGTACACGTGTGCGTTGTACTGAATAGGGTTCATTTTTTGAATGAGTGTAGTCAAATATACCGTTATAAAAGAGTCCGCAGGATTGCCGTGGCTTATAGGTTATAACCGTTAAACCGACCGTTAGCTTAGCAGTTAACCGTTCGGGGTAAAACCGTGACCGTTTGAGCCCTAGTTTTGACCCAGCTTGTACGTGCATATACATGTATGCTCATTGGACTACTTTCTATCCCTTTTGTTTGTTTGTTTGTTTGTTTGTTCGACAACTCAGCATTTGCCTGTCCACCTTCCTGTGCGAGCGTGTGTGCATGCATGGACGCACGTGCGTGGACATGTGTGTGTTGCGTATGCATGTGCGTATCTGTGGGCACGCTTTTGTTCTGTCGTGCAGCCTGGTCTGCTCCATCGGCGATCGCAACAGCTGGCATTGGTGGTGGCTTTGAGCTCGGGGCAGAGGTAAGTTTCCTTGGTGACTCCGCATTCTTTTCTTTTTGGGTGCGCCTGAGTAACTTGTTGGCAATACTGGAAGCTCCTTGCGGTGTCTTTGGTTTGTGTCTATGTGGAGGTGTGCGTGTGGGTGGGGGCAGTCTGCAAAGTCATGTTGTGTGACTTTGAGGTAAGTGCTACAGCTTTGATGGTACCTGCGCTCCACTCCAGCCAGCAGCTACTACATGGACGTTTTGTGTGTGTGTGTGTGTGTGTGTGTGTGTGTGTGTGTGTGTGTGTATGTGTGTGTGTGTGCACGTGCGTGCGTGCACGTGTGCCCATGTGTCTTTGTCCGTGTATGCGTGGGTGTGTTGTCCAGATCACGGACTTCGTATTCATCCTCAACAGTCCTAACGCTGTCGACGCTTTCTCTAAGGGAGGCAACTTGACACTGGGAGGCAACTTGAGTGTCGCTGTTGGCCCGATAGGACGCAATGCCGAGGCTGACGTGGCTATACGATCACCAGCTGCCATCTACACATATAGTCGAACCCAGGGTCTGTTCGCCGGCATCTCGCTGGAAGGCTCTGGCATTTTCGAGCGCAAGGAGGCCAACAGGAAGTAAGGCGTTACCAAGAGGTCATAAGACATACCGTATTTCCCCGATTATAAGTCGCACTCGATTATAAGTCGCACCCCCATTTTCAGGTTTGAGCAATATTGTTGCGATATATTCACTTCAGTAGTATGACATGCTCGATTGTAAGTCGCACCCCCTTTTTTACCCTGAATTTTAGTGTAAAAAGGTGTGACTTATAATCGGGGAAATACGGTAAGCCCCAAGAGTGTGCAACTCCTGATCAGTCCCTGTATGAAACCCCCAAGAGTGTGCAACTCCTGATCAGTCCCTGTATGAAAGCCCGCTAGGCGGAATTCCTTTATTGCGTCAATTTTGGTGCAGCCAGTGTGATGAGTTATGCCGATGAATTCTTCTAGAATTTGCACTCAAACCGGGATGCTTCCTCAGGGCAAACTGCCTAAACTGCGATTCTGATCGGAGTCCCCAATTGGATCAAGAAGTGAAACAAGGCGCGTGATCCTAAAGACAAAACTATTTTTTCGATGCCAATGATGACTCTTCATCGCCATCTTCTTTCGCCAACGCAGTCAGTCTCTTCAAAAACTATTTCTTCCCCGGGCCCTCACCATATTTCCGGTGCTTTCCTCGAAGATAATTTCAAATGATTGAGGAAATTGAGGATGCGTCAAAGGAGCGTTTCTTGGCTGAGTTGCACAGCTATCAGAATGTTTATCCTCGACAGCAATGCAGTATTTTCTGCCTCGCCAGTTGGCACAAGCTACACTTGTAACATGAACAGCGCCCTCACTTATTCCTGTCGTCGATGTCCAGGGATTCTTGGAGAAAGTGTTTGTTTTTGAGAAAGTACGACTTGTACAGTTGAACATCGATTATCCGACCACCTCTGGGCAGACAACTGTCAGGCGGTGTTCAGATAAGGCAAATGTTCCGGATAAGAAAAAACTGTCACTCACACACTTTCAGTGGTTATTACTAGCCGCACGACCTTTTTACTTTTTACTTTTCAAAATTTTCGTATTTTTTGAATGGCTCACTACATGCACAGTGCGTACTCTACGGCACGTGCGCCCAAAAAAACTGTTACGGATAATCGAATGGTCGGATAGCCGATGTGCGGATAATCGATGTTCAACTGTACGTCCGAAATGACTTTAAAAAAAGCTTCGAAATGTCGAGGCTATAGCCTTGAGTTAGAAGTGGTTCCGGGTACTAGTATAGTTTCCAGAATACCGCAAGGAACCCAAATTTACCTCGGATGACATGTTGCGCATGACGTAATGTAGGAATTTCGCCGAGTGCTGGGTGAATGCCAGTCGCACACTCTTGGGGGTTATGAACTCTTGTCGTTACTCAGTGTGTAGTGAAGCCAGTATTGTTAGTCCAGGCAGGCATAGTGGGATGGTCTGAAGCCTGATTCATACTTCATTTCGCGTACGGGAAACGCGTCGCATCGCGAAAAAGTCGACCTGAGCTCAACTGTTTCGCGTACGGGAAATGAAGTATGAATCGGCCTTCAGGCAATGATTGATTGTGAAACAGAGGGTACTAAGTTCAAGTCCTGCTTGGAAGCAGAAGGTTTTTTCAGCCATGCTGCGGCCCACAGTCAGTATAGAACTATAGTTATTAACAAAAGTATATAACCCCCAAGAGTGTGCAACTCCTGATACTCTTTCTATGGGGTTCGCCAACGGCGAAAACTCACATCACGTGGTGTAGTGTCCCAGTTGCACTTTCCAGCCCGTTTTAGCGAGCAGCGGAGCAATAATAAAAGCACTCCCTGGCAGAAACTCACTGCGCGTATGCAACTCGTCAGAACAATCAGGGCAGATTTTCGAATTGCGCGCACGCTATGTTTAGCTGTACGTAGTACAGAACGTACCTGAGACACGTGATGTGAGTTTTCGCCGTCGGAGACCCCATATGCAGAGTTGCACACTCTTGGGGGGGGGGGGGGGGGGGGGGTTATACATGTATAATCTTGATATTAGCAAGAGTACATACCCCCCCCAAGAGTGTGCAACTGTCTGTACAAGCTCTATCCAGTGCTGCGACGGCAGAACTTCACATCACGTGACATGGCTCCAACGGCTACGCTGGCAAACAGTGCAACGTGACCACAAGAGAGTTGAACCCAAAGCAGGGTTGCGTACAATCCTGTATCTATCATATACGGGTTCGTCACGTGATGTGAAGTTCTGCAGTCGCAGACCCCATAGCTGGAGTTTCACACTCTTGGGGGGGGGGGGGGGGGGTATGTAATCTTGATATTAGGGAGATTTCGCTCTGTGATTACCGGTAGGTATAAAAATCCGCATGTCGTACGCGCCGGGGCGAGGGCAACTTTCATACGTAAATCTCTCTACGGATTTCCGTAGGGAAGCTCTTTCCTACGTTTGGTTCTCCGTAGGACTTTTTGAATTATTTTTCGCATTTTCCGGACCCATCCATGGCAACGTTCAAGCCGCGCGAAACACAAGATATACATCGCGTGGCAAACAAAATGGAGAACGTGGTTTCGATTCGTGGCGCATGATGTGGGCGCATGCAGCGGACGCGTCTCCACCGCAACAAGGCATGCTTAGCATGTATGTGCAGTCATGGAGAAAATTAATCACGTAGAGCGCTGATCTTTACGTATGAAAATTCTTACGTACAATTCTTACGTTATTTTCGTACGTAATTACGATGAGCGAAACCGCAGTCCTTACTAAATAACACCAGATATTGGTATATAACTGCTTCTTTGCAACCTTGCACATCATAGTGCGTCTTGATGATGGCAATTTGCTGAAACAGCAACGCTTATACAGTGGATTGAGTTGTGAGCTTGCAATGCCAAGGAAAAGAGCATGTGTACTTGACATTGCCTATTCTTGTGGCATGGTTCTCTTCTCCCCTCTCTCTCTCTCTCTTTGATATGCTACATATTCTACTAAAAAAACTTGCCATCTACCCATGCCTGCACTTTTTCCCGGGTTCCCCCCCCCCCCCCAAAAAAAACTACAGAATACCAAGAGCAGCATTTATGTTAACAGTTGTATTGACAGATCAGAATAATGGATACAATAAAGGAGAGGGTAAAATGGAAAAAAACCCTGCTACTTCAGTAGAATTTCAAGTCGGATGGTGAGCCAATTAACTTTTTTTTGTCTTTCTCCTTTTTCACTTCAGTAGAATAGAAAGAATTTTGATGTAGCGACGTAGATGACGTTGGTTATTCCTACGTGGAACACACCCTTCCTGCCAAACTTGACCCTTGACTGACTCACGACTGCCATCCGGAGCACACGAGGAATAGAATAGAAAGATACCACAAAGAAAACCAGAGTTTAACGTCAGTTGATTCGGTCCATCATCTTACCCATGAGCATGGGGTTTCGCTCTTTTTCTGATGCGGTGAACTGGTCACATCGAAGTGCCAACTGATCCCTTGCTTGAACCGTGGAGACAGAAAATTGCTCACGCTGCAAGGAGAGCTAGTCTGCTGCCTGCTTCTTCGACTCCTCGAATTGCTCAGGGCTAAGGGCAAATTCCTCTTTCTTCACTTGACTATCAGCAGCATGTTGTTTCTCTAGATATTCCAGCATATTCCCAATAGCCGAATGCTTCTTTGCTGGCGAAAAGCCAAGTTCGTTAACCGGGACCACGAGAAACCAGTGAGTAACTACGCAACTCACAATCCTGAAAGTTGGTATTCGAATTCATTGCGTGTGCTTGGTTGATCTTGAAAACTTACTGTCGCAAGCCTTTCCCTTCAGACATGAGAAAGCACCATCTCTCATGCTCGCTGCTTTGCTCCTCAGATCTGCATCCTGCTGCTGCTTTTTTTTCAGATCGTCGGCGGGAGAGGCTTTTTGAGCAGCAGCAACTTCAAAAAGCTCAACCACGCTGACCAGGGCTTGTTCTTTCGGACCGAAATCTTCCACTGTGTCAGAAGCACGGGCGTCCTTGTTTTGCTTGGGCCGGGTATAGCGGACGAGCTTTTCAGCTCAGTCACGGGTACCGCGAGGTGTCGGGCCACCAATCTTGTCAGGAAACATGCTGGCCGTGCTGTAATGATCCTGCTCCACACACACTGAGCGTGGCTCACCATGATCAGACCTCTAATTTACTAATATTTATGAACACACTGCGCGCACACACACTGCATGACGAGACGAGGTGGACCTGGACGAGACGAGGTTGACATTGGCGTGACGAGGTTGCATACGATAACGAGACGAGGCTGAACACGAGACGAATGCCGGGCGGTAGAGGACAAGGATCTCAGGGTCGCGGGCTTCGGCAAAAGTTCGGCGCCAATGTTGGGTATTTCACAACGGACGACGGGACAACAGACGGACGGAGCAAATCGAGGAAGAAACGGACAAACGGATTCTCCCCGGCCAACAGCTCCTTTCACGAGGGCTTCGTCATGGTTGCTTGCAAACTTCTGCATTGTGCGCTTGGATGGCGTAGCCGTTGCAGCAGTCAGGTGCCTAGAATAAGCAGGACGAAGGACGAAAGAAACACCCTCCCTGTGCGACGAATCGAGCACAGATACTAGTGAAGGGACAAATAGTACGTTCCTTGACCGAAACGATTACATGTACAATAAAACAATTGCAGTTCATGTGCGGGTCAGGCAGCTTGATTTTCCTCATGCGTATGAATATCACCACCCTCAAGAATCAGGGCTTCTAAAGTGGTGGAAGGTGGGCAGGTCAGACCCGCCACAAACTGGTCAAAGACTACAAAGTCCGTTTGCTGCATCCATGGTACCCTCACGCCAGGCCACGCGTTCCCAACTACCAGCTAACTCTATTGTAAATAGTTGTTGGTGTCACCATGACACTGAGTTCATGTCTTGTGCCTGTGCTGTTGTCACTCGAAGTACATTTCATGTTTGCTTGTTTTTTTTTGTGCTGCGAAGAATGTACCAGAAGGACGTACGGTCCACTCAGCTACTGAGTGGTCTGGTGCAGCCGCCCGACGAGGCTGAACCGCTGTACGCTGCTCTCCGCGATCACATGAGGGGCATGGTGGTCGATGCCGCCGGGGAAGGGGTGAGTGCTTGGCTTGCGTATGTCCAGCACGGGCATTATGGATTTGGGATTTCCCATCTTCTTTCTTTACCATTCGAGTAGTCCCTTGGAGTGCCAATCTCTGTTATGAAATATGTGTGCTCATGCAATAATTATATTTTTGGATTTTCCAGATTCTTTACCATTCGAGTACAGTCCCTTAGAGCACCAATCCCTGAAATAACTGTGCTCACACGATACTAGTACCGTAAAGTCGCGGATAAAAGCCGGGCTTATAAGCATATACGCCACTTTCTGCATCAGGCTTTAATGCAAACCATGCTTATATGCACCACTGATAAATTATATATTGCATAGAAGCCAGGCTTCTACGCACGACACGCGTAGATCTACCGGTGTGGTGGCAGTTTTACTATGCGCCGTACATAGTGCATGCACTCTTGACCTACCCGATCCGCGCTTGCACAGAAGCCAGGCTTCTACGCGTGGCAGGCTTATAATGCATTTGACCCGTTTGATTTTCAGGCTTCTATCCTCGATGTGCTTGTATGCAAACCCGGCTTTTATCCACGACTTTACGGTATACGTTATTATGCTTTCTCTGAGCGCTATTGTTTCAACTGTGCTGGGTCACTGCAAGCACATGATGCAGGACATGTTTAATGGAGATTTGCAGGGAGCAGCGAAAATGGAGAAAGGGATCAACAACAGGTTTCCGGGGATAGTATGTATGTTGCACGAGCATAGTGAATTGTTTTAAAACACAGATCAACTCTCCTGGTCAATGCACTCGAATGGTTATTATTATTATTATTATTATTATACGCATTTCCGCGTTGAAGTGTAGCAGCAGTATGCTGCGTCCACAGCTTCGCTTATGCAGAATGGCTCGAATGGTAAGAAGAAGAATCTGGAAAATCCAATGTGGTCAGCAAGGTCTTACTTATCAGTCATCACCTTGTCTCAACTTAGTCAGCTATGCTTTCTGTGTTTGGCCGTTTATGCTGCAGTGTTGTTCTTGATACAATAAATATTACATGTACCCCTGTTCGTAACTGGAACTCTTTTCTGTTTTGTCCCTTTGACTGTTCTGCATGGATCGACGGCTTCCTTTATCAACTTGCCCTGTACTTCGTCTATAGATCAGCAGGGGTAAGTACTTGTGGTGTCTGTGTAATTAATTTTAGAATTGTGATCAACAGCACGAGCTGAACCGACATTTCACAAAGGCTTTATTGTATTCGAAAAACGAGTGGATACGAAGGCTGTGAAATTACCGTATTTTCTCTAATAAGAGCCCGGGGTTCTTATTTGTTTAGTGACAGCTCTACCCGCGCTACTATTAGAGACTGGGCTATTATTATTTTTCAATTGTCGATTATCAAGCCAACTCCAGTCTATACAGGCATAAACTGACCATATCAAGACTGATTTTCAACCCTAAACTCAGGAATATTGTCAAAACAGATGTTTCACAATAGCATTGGCGCCAGGAAGGTAGCAGTAGACCGAAAACCTCCTTGCAAATATGTTCTTGGCATGTTGTACTGCTGTTTTATATGCAGTCGATATACAGTAGATATTGGTTATAACGTGCCCTTCTGATTTTTCACATGTTATCACTATAACCGGTATATCACTACAGGCGATTTTCAACTGCGCTCATCTTACATACACATTATACACGTGTGGGTACTCGATCGCGCTAATGTAGCGTTCTGATACAGGATTCATGCTGCTGCACCTTCCCCAGTCTAGAATGAAGAACTTCTTGGCCCAAAGGCATCATCCGGGAAACATCAGACCAGAATACACTATGAAAACACCCATGTGGCTCCAAGTCGAGACATCAATGCCTCACACTCGTGTGTTGCTATCACTATAGACGATATTTTTTCTGCACAAAGAGGTGTTTTGAATGGTGATTCTGTATCCTTATAGCCGATTTATCGCTATATACGATATATTGGTTATAATGATAATTTGAGTGGCTTTTTCTGGTTTTGCTTTTGATATTTTCATTTTGTATCAATATAGCCGGTTTATCACTATGTCCGATGACTTTATAACCGATATCCACTGTACTTGTTGCATACTCCAATTGTGACCCGCGCTACTACAGTTGCGCTCGGTGAAATCCGGCCCGAAGTGCATAACTGGCGCCCAGTACTGATGCGGCCCTTGACGCCCTTAAAGTTGTACAAGTGCTAGTGTGCACGTGTGCCGTATGAACTGTGCATGTGCTGTACTCATACGCATGCATGCATGCTTACACCAAAGTGTAAAAAACCGCGCCAAACTTAGCATTCATTTCAGTTCAGCACAAGTAAAGAAGACGGAGCTCGTTTCGAAGCAGTTTATTTCATACACAGAGCAGCAGGGCTTCAATATTTTGTGTGGCCACCGTCTGCTTCGATTAGGGCTTCAACATGACGTGGCATTGACTCCACGTATTGGGGAAACCGTGTCAGGAGCCAACGAGTCCCACTCCAGGTGCAGTGCCTGCACCAGCTGGTCAGCAATCTCGCAGCGATGTGGAAGTATTCTCTTCTTGAGAAGAGCCCACACATTGGGAATGGCCATGTCCTTCTTCTCTATCTCTTCTTGATCTTGAGCTGTACTTCGTGAAGTGAATGAAAGAAATTTTGAACTGTTTTTAGCATGCAACACGTGCACTCTGAACTTTTACACGAGGTGCGTACAGTTAAGTTCGTACACACAACTCGCCAGTGATGTAATGGGAGCTGGCTTCGCGGCGCCGGCTTTGCACTTCGGGCCGGATTTCACCGAGCGCAACTGTATTAGAGACTATGCTCTTATTATTTCAAACCACCCTCACCCCGGGTCATTATTGGAGACCTGGGCTTTTATTAGAGAAAATACGGTAATATCAGTTCTAAAAGTGAAAAGGATGAACTGCGCGCTCATTCTAAACACACCTCAAGGCAAAGTTGGTGGGTTAGTTCCAATAACGTTTTCTTGTGATGTTCATCAGTTATTGGAACTATTAAACCCACCAACTTGGCCTTGATGTGTGTCAAGCTGTTGTCTCCGCGTAGGTTGATTCTAAAAGTTGTAGCGAATTGGTCTTGGGCTAACAGCCTCAATTCTAGTTCCGCTGCTATTCCCTGTGGATACTAGTAGCAGCGGAATTAGATTTGTGGCCACTAGCCCAATAGGGCCAATACCTACTTGCTTTTATGGCCACGGTCACACCGAAACAAGCCGCTTTGGGCTTGCTATTGGTGGAGCTCAGCTGGCGTGGATGCGGGGCTGTCAAGCGGTCACACCAGGCGTCGAATGCTGTGACTTGATTGCTTGTTATTGTTTTTTGACCGCCAAATTTGGTGGAAAACACACCACAGTCAGCAAGAAATCGGAAAGCAAGACATTCATAACCCCCAATCCCCAATAGATATGGCATGCCAATGTTTTTAGAACTCTATTGTTATTAGGCCATTGTCTGTTATAGTCACCACTATAAATAAATCCAATCCAAAATCCAATCCAGCTGCTCATGTTACATGTACAAGTGAAGTGCAAACACTCTGTTCAACTTGTAAAACACCCTTTCAATTAAACTAAGAATTTTGTTTTTTATGACTGTGCTGGTTCTCATTTCCAATAATTAAATTTGTTTTATCAGATATGTCATTTTTTCCGTTTTTCGTACCCTTTTGTTGTTGTTGTTGATATCAGGTAAAGCGTATGCTGCCTCGAAGGGTTTCGGCGGCGGTGATGATGATTTTGGCGGCTTTGGTGGCGGTGGCAGCAGCGGCGGCAGTTCTGAATCAAGCAGTCGGTTCTCTCTCCCGAGCATGAAGAGATCTGGTGGAGGTGGTGGAGGCGGCGGTGATGATGGTGGTGGCTCTTCATCTGGTGGCCGTAGCAGTGGTAGCAGTGCCAGTAAGTTCAAGCTATGCTGCTTCTGGAAAAAAGGAGAAGGAAATAAATGCTCGTGACAAGCAAGGTCCCGGGTTCGAGTCCTGGTGGGTCTGGCATTTTTTTCTCTTTTCAGGCAGTTCACTTCCCCGACTATTAAATCATTTGAATTTGAAGTTCTCCCAATCCTTTCAAAAGGACAACAATGTTACGAGTTATGACTAAGTGTCCACCAGCGTAACCAGATCATATGCAATCAGTGAGTGAGACTATTAAATGGCACGAAACCTTTTTTCCATAAACCATGGCTCGCCATCCAAGTTCAACCTTATACTGCTTCTGTCCAGGAATGCACTGTTGTACAGTCCTATCTTGCAGTCGTCAGTCTCCTGATTACAACCTCCCTCCTCCTCCCCCCCCCCCCCTTCTCTGATGGTTTGTGGGTGTATTTGTGGTACAGTCAAATCTGTCGTAAGCGACCGCCCCTTGGTGCAAGAAAAAGCGGTCTCTTACAGCAGATGGTCTCTTACGGCAGATGTATGGTAAATTTGGCATACCGGGCATGCATATATGCTTCCATGTACTCAAATCGACGAGAATAATGTGATTTTTAATATAATTTTATTGGATATTCAATAGAATATAGGGGTGCCAGGGCCAGTCGATCGCACTCGCAAGACAGCGCATTTTCACACCTTGCAGTTGACAGCGCACTGGCAAGTACAGTTTCGCACCTGACTGAACGACATACGTGGGTCGCGGTCGCTTACAGCAGATTTGAATGCAGCCACCGTGCATGAAATCGCGGTCGCTGGTCGCGCACAGCAGATGGTTGCTCTGGACAGATCAATTTGTATGTGAAACCGTCGGTGCACGGAAAATCGGTCACTGACGGTAGATGGTCGCCTACAGCAGAGGTCGCTAACGGCAGATTTGACTGTACCATGTGTTTGTTTGCTGACATGTGCATCTATACACTTGCACAAACGCACACACGCACACACACGCACACGCATATCTTACTTGCGTCTTGTGTGTGCGCGCGCGCGCGCGTGAATTGCTCTTTTCCTCAGTGACCTACTCGCAGCAGCGTGAAGCCGCCTCGAAATCGAATCGAAGCGGTGGCAGCTCTGGCAGTGGCCGTGGGTCATCATCACACGAGCCCTCGAAATCCTACTCGGGTGGTCAGCGATCACAGCGGAGATCGTCGTCCTCACGCTCCGCCAAGAATAAGGACAGTGCAGCTGATTCGTTCGATGTCAATGCTGGCTGGAATGCAGATACTATCGTTCAGGCTCGCTGGGATTACTTCAGTGACACAGCTGGTGATCTGAACTTCCGGCGTGGCGACAAGATTGTTGTCACGCTCCAGACGGGAAAGACTGATGATTGGTGGGAGGGTAAGCTACGTGGCATAGTTGGTATATTTCCAGCCAACTATGTTGTCGATGTATCGGCATGAGAGGGTGTGTGTGTGTGTGTGTGTGTGTGTGTGTGTGTGTGTGTGTGTGTGAGAGAGAGAGAGAGAGAGAGAGAGAGAGAGAGAGAGAGAGAGAGAGAGAGACCCAACCGCCAGATCTCTGCATTAATCCCCAGCCAGGCCTGCTGACCTCTTTCCGTGAAGTTCATGCATGGTTCGGCTTGGTGTAGGGTGTAGCACAACTGGCTGCATACGCGGTTGCGCCACTCTGTGTGTATGCTGTATGTGTGTTGTGTGCACAAGCAGGATTTATTTTGCATTAATTTTATCCCTTTTGCTGTCCCGTTATTTTCATGCTGTATCCTACTCCGGGTTTCGGCACCCATTGCTAAGCGCTCTTTGAACTCCGTGTGCATAACAAATATATATCTAGCGGACCCAGTGTTCTCTTTAGCCTGTTGCCCGCCTGTGATCATGATGATGTGGTCGATAGGATGCATGCGTGTTCCACAGCTGCTGGTCAGTTTTAGCGTAGTCGTGCACCGGGACCTTGGCGCTCAGTGCCGTCCGCTTCTTATTCCTCTAGTCTAGATCTGCTGGTCAGAATAGTTGTGCTGTTGCGTCGCTTGATTTCTTTGGTGAATCTACAAGTATAACCGAGTGCGTAGTGACTTTGCTTGTATCACTCACCGGCTTAGATGTGTGCGGGCGTGCGTGCGTGTGTGCTTGTGTACGGGTGTATGCCGGTGTAACTGCGTTTAGTAACCATGTGCTGGAGATCCAAGGGCATCGGGTCTCTCCCCCACCGTGCTGTAGCGCGGTTAGTGCAGGATGCTGGTGCAGCTCATCTGCTTTATGATCTGCCGTGAGCAACCGGGCTAGATGGGATGTGCTTGAGTACAATGGTACCGGGGTATGTGTTGTTGAATTGGACCTGGATGGTCAGATAACGTTTTACAATTGTACTCTTGGGGCAGTACATCACTCTATTTGGTGCCAATAATCTGGCGAGCCTGGCAAAGTGGATAGTCGGTGTCCCAGCATCGAGCTGCGGCGGATTTCTGCTTTGTCATGTTGCCACGTAGCATCGGACATGGCTACCTAAGGACGGGGGCTAGCTGGCCCCCGTCTCTTGTTGTTGGGACCACCTTTGCAGCAGACATGTACTGTCTTCACCGTAGTTGCTGGTTTTCGCATGCTAAAGTACATGTACCCGGTATACACTGCATGCATTGTTCTTTGTATGCAAGAGTGTGAGACAGACATCTTTGTGGGGCTTATAATAAACACTATAAAAAATACGGTCGTTGCAGAAGTATTCGACGGACAGTGTCCCCTCAGTCTGGTGTTACACTTGGCCAGACCATACAGGCATACTTTGTGCAGCATATGCAGTAGATCTACTATTGATCTGCTCACTTGTCAGATTCGGAGTGCCTGGGTTTTGGTCATTCGCTCGTTGGCTTCCGAAGCCAAGCGGATGCACCGGATATGCATGACATTGGACAACTCCCTGCCAGTCCCGGGCTTGCGACCATTTGAACCGTATGAGCGAACAAACTCCGGTTCGGACCCTCTTTATTCTGGGGGGGGGGGGGGGGGGGGGGGGGGGGTGTGACTGAAAACTCCGCCAAAGGGCGCAGATAGCCACAGACCGGATAATGACCAGTCAGTTGACCACACCACTGGAATACATTCCGCTTAGTCATCTGGGTAGGAGGGGGTTGCAGTGGCTCGCGTCGCTCCCACTGGCCATCGTGCGTCTGCAGACCAAGGACGCGAGTCGCATCAACGTCCACAGCAGGTTTCGTAGGCAATCCATGGGCGGTCAGCGCGTCCGCAAGGGCCTCCGCCTGATCTGTCGGCGTGATGATGTCATCAATGTAATTATCGGTGTCGGTGAAGTCACGGGTCACCCATTTCACAATAGTGTCCAAGACTTTCGGCGCAATGGCAAGGCCAAAGCCCATGCGCTCCATCACGTACTGTCGTCCTTGCCAAACGACCATCTGGAACCGCTGCTGGGTTGGGTGGATGCGAACATTCAGGAAGGCCTTACGGATGTCGACAATCTTGGACGCGCCTTTCCGTTGCCGCCACTCGCGAAGCTTCTCAGGGCACGCGGGTGCCTCCCGACCAGGGCTGGAGATGATCCGAACGTTCAGCGCACGGTAGTCCAAACACGGACGCACGGGTGTGGTAGGCTTATGTTCCTGACACACAGCCAACAGTGGCAGTACAGCGCCTGGTGGACCATGTCGATCAGCATCATACGGTACAAGCCATCCCTCCGCCAGCCAAAGGTCAATCTCGGCCTGGAACTTGGCCTCCTGCTCCGGTGACAACTTCTGGCGGGAGTATTCGCCAATACCAGAGCCAATAGGGGCTTGCGGTGGTGCGCCTGCCGACCAACGCCATTGGACTTCCCAAAAACCACGCTCGGCGTCGAAGGCGACCTCAGCATCACCCATGGACAGGGTGACATTCGGCCCATCTCGTGACACAGAGACATCGCGTGGCAACTTAGCGGAGCTCTCCGGGTTGTCAGACTCGGACGTGGTATCGGATGCAGTTGACGGATCACGCTGGCGACCAAACCATACGGTTGCGAGGACACCATCGGGGGCATAACCAAGGTGCACGCCACCCACGGAGGAGATAATGTCCAGTCCCAGAAGGATATCAGCGTCAACCACATCCAAGGTGTCGACAACGAGGAAATCAGCAGTAACTTCAGGCAGGTGCACTTTGTCATCGTCACGATGAACAGTCAACCGGACTTGCCCAGACACCACAACTTCCTGCCCATCGATGGCGGTAATGCGCGGGTTGGACTCTACGAGCTGAACGGGTACACCCAACTCGGAGACAACGCGATAGCTGATCAAGGACTTACTAGAGCAGGAATCCACGGCAGCACGCAGCCTGGCCTGGCCCTCACTATAGACATGAATCCTGGGCAGCGACGAACAGGGACTTGCCACGACACTGAGGCAGGCATTGCCCGTGGTCGACGAGCCAGAGCCCGCAGCACAGGCGGTACTAGTGGGCGTCTGAGAAGAACTGGCACCACCACTAGACTTCAGCTGAGGGCACTGACGCTTGACATGGCCGGGCTGCTGACAATGAAAGCAAACAGGAGGACGTCTCTGCCGGTTCGGGCAATCGCGCCGCAAATGCCCAGTCTGATGACACTCATAGCAGAGGCGACTAGGGGTGGAACTGCCACTGGGTCGTCGAGCAGGGCTGGCTGCCAGAGCAGCAACGGGTTCCTTGACTAAGCTGCCCGCAGCACAAAGGGCACGGGCCTGGGCTGCAACTGAGCTTACCGTAGCCCCAGCAGGTTGAGAGGCTGCATTCAAACGAAGCTGCACGGCGAAGTGAGGCGGAAGCCCCACCAGGAACTGCTCCAAGAGGATCGGGTCCTTGCCGTCCGCTGCCTCCTTGTGTCCACTTAGCCGTTGCAGCCGCCGAAGATCCGCCAAGTAGGCGTCGACAGTTTCGTCCGCACGCTTCCTCCGCTTGACAAACTGGTGGTAGGCATCGGCAGGGGTGACTGAAAATGACTCCACGAGCCGCTGCTTTACCTTGGCCTCGTCCTTCTGATCATCACTGGCCATCTCACACCAAACAGTGAATGCATCACCCGACAAATACAATGGGAGTACGGCCATCCGGGCTTCTGACGACTCAAGCTTCTGGATGCCTGCCACCACCTGGAACTTCTGCCAGAATTCATCCAGATTATCATCGCGCCCCCGAAAAGGTCGCAGCAAATTGTCCACGCGAGGACCCGACGCCATCACTATACAGGCCGTCGACCAAAAACACTGTCAGAAAAAACGAATAAGACTAGGTTCAGCAAACGGGTTTCGGCACCACTTGTGACTGAAAACTCTCCTCCCGGACTCCACAGCAACACAACCGGATAGGACGGGAATATTATAATTATTAGGACTGAACAAACATGAAACGGGAAGTACAAAAAGGAAAAGACTACATACCAGCCGCCATCAAAATCGGGCTCAACACAACAACCGGCACTACATCATTGCGCAACAACTTTGGAGCATGCGCATGCTTGGCCAAGTCCTGTTACCATGGGACCACTCTATCACAGGGGGGGGGGGGATGGCGGTGGTTGACTTTGGACATTTTTGTGTTGTTGTTATTGGTGGTGGTGGGTTGTTGTTGCTGTTGTTGTTAGATAATGTCAATGATCTTTTACTAGATTTTTAGTTACATGTACCAGTATTGTATTTCCAAAGTCACCCCCCCCAAAAAAAAAAATTAGTACGAGGTCCGAACCGGGGTTTGTCCGGCCATACGGTTCTATGGTTGGGGGCCCAGGGCCGGGGGGAATGTGGGACTCTCCGACTCTGCCTTCTCCTGATGACGTCACTGATGTATAAAGTGTGCATGTATATGTGGCATGTGCGCGTCACGTCAACAAGCAGTGCAGAATCAGGTCACAAAAAAACCCCGCCGTCGCTGCTGGCCGCGGCCGACCGAGTGTAAAGCATGGTAAAGTAGGGAGGTTCTGCTCTACGTTTTGGGAACGCGACGCAAAGAATCACGCGAACTTTCTTCGCGTTCCCGTAACGTGAAGAAATGCTGTTCTGCTCTACGTTTCACCTAGAGAAGTCACGTGGCCGCGTGGAATGTGTACTGGGAATTTCCCCTTCCATATTTGGCAGTTTTCTGCATGCAGTTGATCGATACCCAGCAAATCCGTACGCATTTTCTCTGCGTGTGCCACAACGTAGAGAACCCCATCTCCGCGTAGAAATCTGGAGCCAAAACACGCGAAGCCGTAGACTCTAACCCAGACACCTGCTCTCTACGTGATTTCTCTACGTTTCACGCAGAACCTCCCTACAGTAAGATCGGGCGCCGAAGAACGCAGGGGCTCGAGCGCAGCCTAGGAAAGTTCTTAAATTTTTCATTCTAGCCAGACCGTTCTTATTCACACGCGCGCGGCGAGTCGAGTGACGTCATGACGTTTGTCATGTACATGTAGTGCAATGTGGTACTTCTAAACTAGTGGGTGTCGTAAATGGGAATGACTGTACATGTAGCAGTTACTGTTTACACGTGTACATGACATGTACTCACCTCCCATACATGTACAATGTAGATCTACGTGTAAATTCGCAACTTCGTGTAAGTACATGTACATGTATGACAACGTACATGTATGACTATTATTATTATTATGTACAGGTGTTGTGGCGAGCTCAAAGCCGATCAGTTAAATACTGCACTCATGTGGAAATTCCAAATTTTAAAAGTGTTCTTAAATCTGATAATTCTAGCCTGGACTGTTCTTAAATTTTGCCGGTTTTCCAGCCTGGGTGTTCTTCGGCGAGGTGTTCTTCGGCGCCCGATCTTACTGTAGTTACTAAAGACAGGCGCGCAAGCCAGATCACTGTGGGCGCACATGCACGTGCGCGACCGCGCTCCCCGCCCGCCGTGCAAGCGCGGAGGACCGGGGCCATATCCGCGCAGCATGCTAGCACATCTTGGGGCATCACCAAGGCAAGTAAAAGATTCTTCACTGACTTTCATGCAGCGCATGCAGCCAACGGCTTGGCTTGGCTTGGCTTTTTGGTCTTTGCATGACTTGTGTGTTTTGCTGTTGACCATTGAGAACCAGGGACGAGGGCAAAGAGAAGCTTCGAAGCTGTGGAAATGGCGGCCTGTCGTCTCGGAAGATCGGCGTTGAAAGCCGGGCAGACCTCTTTGCGCCAGGTTAGCAATGGCGTTTCTAACAAGGCTGAAGGATATCCCTAACCGTACCTGTTGTCTTTATTTTCAGGCATCTACGTCTGCGAATAATGGCAGTAAAAAATCGGTGAGTTGTGGCGAAGGTGTTCGTATCGTAGATTTGTAGTGTGTGACAGTGGATGGCTACGGCTTGTATGATGACTGACTGCAGCTGAATTGGGGAGCCAAGGCGTTTGGATCTCTTGGTGGAGCTGGTCTGTTCACTGGTCTCGTCATCGGAGGACAGGTTTTTGCTTCAGAATTCGATATAAAGCCATCGAAGCTACCATGGTACTACAAGGGTATCTTCAGATCTTTCGATCATGCAGCGTAAGTGATAATTGACATGTTCTCAAGGTAGCTTTTCTGTTGTCGCTCACAGTATGTTTGTTGCTTCAACCATCTCCTTTCTAGTAAAATCATGTGTACATTCCATGTCACACTTGTTCAGGTATACAATCTGTTCAGGATATACTCAGTTTGAAATTGGACTTGTGAGGAAAGCGCATCATGTTTTGTTGAATTGAAAATGCACGTAGGGTGCGAAATACTGGTCGTTTGTACTGTAACAGTGAGTATATGCCTAGCAACGGCTGTGTGTCTGCACTCACCAATTACCAGTTAGCAGTAGCGCGAGGAGATTATAATAATTTTGAATATTGTCGCTTTTCGAACTGAGTCATGTTGAGTTTGTCGAGGAGATTTAATAATGGTAGTGTCTACTACTAGTGATGCAGCAGTAGATTACTGAATGACTTCATGTGCTCGTAGCTTTGCGTTTCAATAGAGCACATGTGCATGCACCTTGTATTATCTGTGTGTGTGTGTGTGTGTGTGTGTGTGTGTGTGTGTGTGTGTGTGTGTGTGTGTGTGTGTGCGTGTGTGTGCGTGTGTGTGGTGTGTGTGTGGTGTGTGTGTTCATATGGCGCAGTGGTATGTGCAGCGATTTCCAATCGAGAGGTTGCGGGTTCGATTCCCGACGAGCATGGTCACACACGTCTTTCTTCTCTTTCTCAGACTCCTGACTTTTCTTTCATTCTGGGTGGTTACCAACAGCCAGTGCATGCCGGAGTATGTGGTGTGATGTGTGTGCGGGAAAAAAAATAAATAGACCAAAAAGTAGGGATTCACTGGCCAGAAAAAGCCACTTCATAGCTGTGTGGTGTAGACCAGGCTGAATAGTGGTGGTCAATTCTTCAGCCTTGCAAGCTGATGAATGGTGCAATCCCAGCACAAGTTGCTATGGCTTCTGCTGTAGCATCGCTATCATCGCCTCCGGCGATGGGCGTCAAATAGTGTGTGTGTGTGTGTGTGTGGTGTAAAAAATTTGGGATTCACTGGCCAGAAAAAGCCACTTCAATCAGCTGTGTGGTGGATACCAGGCGAGAAAATAGTGGCGGTCAATTCATCAGCCTTGCAAGCTGTTGAATGGTGTAATCCAAGCACAAGTAACTGCTATGTCTAACATAGCTGTTCGCTATCATCCCTTACGCGATGGGCGTGTCTGAGGTGTGGTGTGTGTGTGTGAGTCACATGAGGAAACAAATAAAGGTTCTCCTACTGGGTTTTGCTCTAAAGAATGGGAGCACTATTAGTTAGCGGGAGGAGTGCATGGCTTCGGAGCATGTAGCTCCAGCTTACTTTGCATGTAAGGTTCTGCCGCGGTGGAATCCAAACGTTACGTCTTTTCACAAACACAATATTCTGTGATATAAAGTATATCCAGTCTACCTTGATGTGCAACGCACATGTTGCACGCAGTGGACAGACCGTCATGTAGCAATGGCGTTGCAGTGGACAACTTAACCCTTTCCGTGCTTCATGGGGAAAAATAGACGTCAAGCGCGCTGTACCCCAAACGACTAATGACGTCTATGTGTGTCGTGCGATTTGTTCAGTATATCGCAGGGCATAGGCCAGTGTGAAAACTTTCGTAACGTATTTTCCGGAGCATAGGCCGCGCTTTGAACACTCAGTAATGAAATTTATGTGTGGACTTTGACTTTTATGGCATGGCACAGTGGGTGAGTCATTTTGCATCTAAATATCTCGGAAAGCAGCGGTGTTTTGAATATACGGCCATGGCTTTAAAGGCGCTGACATACGGTATAATAGTGGAACATTACAATGTGTATTCCACTTATTTCCTATTATTTCTTCTTGTTGCATTGGTTACGAAATGGAGTGTTTACGCCAAAAGCAACCGCTCCGTGCTGGTCAAGACCACTTGCGTACCGTAGTGTCGTGTATAAAAGCATAACCTGTATAGAAGCATGACTCGAATAGAAGCCGATTTTTCCAAGCGAGCCGTGACACAGAAGCACGATTTGAGTAGAAACCGCTCTCTGCAAAGACACGTGCACGTGCATGTACTTGCACAGTACATGCAGTATGCAGTACACTGATGATGTTGACGTAGAAGCATAACTTGAATAAAAGCATGGCTTGAACCCCGCTTCATCTGCGCCTTGATCCTTGAAGGGTGGTGGCGTTCCTACGGATGCGGAAAACTCGGCCTCCATAGATAAACCGAGTCTCACGTGAACCGTGAATTTTTTTGAACCCTGGCTTATATGGCCATAAGCACCTGCTTTCATACGCGACATTACTGTATTGCAAACCAACGTAGCTATTGCATGGTCAACGTGCTCAGGGATCATATTGTCCGTGCAGCCTATAGTGCACTGGATATCCTTTTTTAGGACCAGGCGAGCTACTGTTATTTAGCACTATTACACCTGTATTATAATAATGGATGGTGGCCGAAATGCTGCGATAACTGCTCTCTGCTCTTGTCACAGACTTCGTCGTGGATACCAGGTGTATGCTCAGGTATGCGCTGCCTGCCACAGCATGGACATGGTGTATTGGTTCCAGCTTGTGGATGTTTCCCACACTGAGAAGGAGATCAAGGCTATGGCGGCCGAGGTGAGGTCACATGTCCATTTGCTCCCTTTTTTTGTGAGGAGCCCACTTCATTTAAAGGGCTCCAATTCAAAACTAGAGAAATCTAGAGAAATTTTTCAGCAGAAATCAAATTCAGTGTACTTACATTTTATGGAACGACGGTGGATAGGCGAACAGGAGTCGAGATAATGCAACGTGAACAAGTGCTGGTGAAAATTTACTCTCCAGCCCATTAGCGCAAGCATTAGTTTTCCTTGCTTCGTCCCATGCATGTACACCCATTCATCTTTCTGCAATTATAATGGTGATAGGCAGAAGATTTGTGCCATGGATTTGTGTACGCACATTATGCATATGCAGGGATCGATATACTTTGATTTTTTTGCATAGCAGTCACTGCTACACAGTTTTACAATTGATTAGCAACTCCCAGTATTGATTAGCAGTTTTCCTTCATCAAAAGTTTACATGTATAGCTGTACAATAGCAGGATTTCGTACAGAAGACAATAGCTGCAGTTGCTATTTGCTTTTCCAAGCGAATGTTCGACCTGAATATTTACGTTAGAGTTTTCGCTTGGGCACGTTACATGTTCAGCGTCCATTCGTCTTCGAGTTCTTCACAACACAATGTCTTTCAACAGGGCAGTTCCACTGATTCCTTCGACAAAGAAACCTCAGGAAAGCGCTCAAACGATTGTGACATTTCGTGCAAAGCGCATCGAATTTCGCTTTTCTCCTTTTCTTCATCGAAACGAATCGACATTCCTGGCGCGTCCAGTTCTTTGTCCCTCTTCTGGACAGTGAATCACTGATCAGATTCACTGACATGTTGGCTACATGAGACTAAGAACCATCGACTTCAACTGTGTGATTTGTCGAACAGAAACAAACTGAGCTTGACAGTGAAAGAAGAAAGGAGAACATCAGGAAAAGTCACCGCCGTGTACAAAACTTCAGAAGATTGCAGTCATGTACGACCAGTGCTAGTGCAGTGTCCAAAATCGAAAGAGCGCGATCCGCGAGTCCGCGACCCGCGCGGACTGAGCAGTACAAGCCAGTTGATTGGAGTAGTAAAATACTACTCCCTAGTCAGCAGTGTGTACAACAGTCGCATGTAGACTGCACACAACTGGTCTTTGTAGTGCATCGCAGTTTTGGGCGATAAAAAACGAAAAGCGAATCGCAGCCAGTGAATTTTGATTCGCAAACTGCGATGCGAACCCGGATAAATCGATCCCTGATATGATTGTAGAACGGGGGCAACATTTGCCACTGCTATACGTTAGCGCCACGCATCGAAGGACGTGGAGCCTAATCATTGTGTTCTGTTGTTTCCTTTGTTTGTTCTTTCGTGTATAGCACCTGTATGAGGATGGTCCCGATGATAATGGAGATATGTTCCAGCGGCCTGGTCGGGTGAGCGTCTTATAAACTGTGTTCCGTTGCTGTGTGTACTAGTATATGTGCACGCGCATTCAGCTGTGTTTTTATGGCTGTACAAATATATGTGTGTGCACTCCAAAAAAAGTGTGTACTTGTTGGTTGGTTACATATTAGGCCATCAAAATAATTATATTGATGGTTGATCGTCAGATTTTCCCGAGAAATCGGGACGGACGAGAGGGTTTTTATTTTATTTTATTTATCTTCTGTGTAGGATTATTTTGAGGATGCAAATAAGGAAAAGTGAAACAACCACCGTAGGACAGCAAAGAAAATCAGGCAGCTGATAATCAATTTCACTTTTCAAATCCATAGCATCTTCATGTATGGTTCAATCTGTGGACTTCGCCTTCGAAGATGTATAGCCATCCTGATTGGAGCCCGTAGATCGTAGTGCATACAGTACATTTACCGGTACTAAAAAATGAAATAATTTGGCCGGGAGGGTGAAAAATTAAACGATAAACAATCATTTTTTTTACTTGGCCTTACCTCCTTCATGTGACATTGTTATGGTTCAATCCTGATGCTGCATATACCAAGACCTAAACGGATATGGGTGTGAACAGTCTCACAATCTAATCATACCTGATCAGTTCAACACTTGTTGCTGCCTGGCCAGGGTTCTATCATGTACTGTGGACGAATCTTGGTCTGTGACATCTCTTCTCTTTGCCTTGTTTCAGCCCTTCGATCCTCTTCCCAGCCCATACAAGAACGACAAGGAAGCACGCGCGGCCAATGGTGGTATGTTGTTTGTCTTAATGGTGGTGGGGTGTCTGAAGTTAAGTTCTGTTCTTGAAACACCAAATACAGTCGACTCCACAGATAACATACTCCCAATCTGTGTACTCGGGCAGCATGCTGCTTCGTCCTTTGGGGACTCGTCAGCGCAGCACAAATGAGGCCGAACCTGATAGCTGTGAAAAATACATTCTCCAAAGCCAGATTTATACCAGGCCCGAACGTACCTTGCCAGAGTGCTCAAGCTGACTAGTCAGTGAGCTCTGCGTAATGCAAACAGCAAAGGCACTACCCCACATGGGAGTGCTCAACTACTACAAGAGCAGGAGCATACTCACGCATAGAGAATTTCGTGATCTAGTGAACCATTATCCATGCCCCTTACAAATTGTATATTTTTTCTTTATAAATGAACCCTATCTTGTGGAACCTCGTGTAAACCAAGTGCACTCATACAGTCAAGGCCCACATTCCAGGCATGACATGTTGCTTGTGTGGTGTGGGTGCATTTCTGTTATAAAGAACGTCGGCTATAAAGAACTAATTCTCCTGCGCTATGGTGTTCGTTATATCAGGAGCCGACTGTATACACATTGGCTCTTGCTGACCTTATTTATAGGGCTCAAACGATTAGTCCGATTAACCGGTTGCAGACCGGTTACGAAGAATTAACGGTTAACCGATAAAGATAACGGTTACGCTGTAACTTTTCAGTCAATTTTTCAAGTATCAGGTCGTTGCAAAGTGTGCACTTTCGCTGGCTGTCGCACGCGTACTGGGCTGTCAACTCGGTCATATCTAGATATCTGGTCTCTTGGTGTGAGAGTATGTATGAATGAGCATGCAAGAGAATGTACATGTGTGCGTTGTACTGAATAGGGTACATTTTTTGAATGAGTATAGTCAAATATACGGTTAAAAAAGGAGTCCGCAGGATTGCCGTGGCTTATAGGTTATAACCGGTTAACCGACCGTTAGCTTAGCAGTTAACCGTCAGGGGTAAAACCGTGACCGTTTGAGCCCTACTTATTTATCTGCCTGGAGACATTTGGGTATGTTGAATGAGGTCTCTTTGAACAATTGTCAGATTTGGATATGTTTGGGCGCCAGTGGCACTTGTTGATTGTCCTTTTTTTCTTGACGCATCTGTCTGCCTGTAGTGTTGGTTTTGTTCTAAGTTGTTTCCCTTCTTCTCCTCCTGCTCAGGTGCCCTGCCTCCCGATCTTATGACAATCAGCCGTGGTAGACATGGTGGCCCGGTAAGTTCCTGACAGCTACTGATGGCTTTCGAACTTCTTTGCTTTTTCTCCCAATGAGCACTGTAGGGCAAGTGTTGACATTGTGATGTTGCAATCATATTGATGGAACTAGGTCCTGGAAGAAAGTCCTGATGGAGTGGTGTGCTCGAATTAAATATGTTATGTAGGGAACCACTTTGTATGTACATGACACACACAGTTGCGCTCGGTGAAATCAACCCAGAGTGCACATTTGGCACCCTCAATTTGCACGGCCCGTGACGCCCTGGAAGTGGCACAGATGCGGCTGGACGTACACATGTACAAATACAACGATCAGTTGCTCCTCGTGTGCTCCGGATGGCAGTCGTGAGTCAGTCAAGTGTCAAGTTCGGCAAGAAGCGTGTGTTCCAAGTTGGCTAGTTGGAACAATCAACTTCATGACCATTACCGCCGAAGTCGCAACTTTTAAGTTCAGTTGCCTGATGCTCGTAGTAATACGTGAAACTCAAGAGTTGTGACGGAGCTTCCAATCTCTCTTGTGTACAAGGCTCTGGCCTACATGGGTAGTGAGCACTCTTCGGACAGTGAAGCACACCACTTGATTACAAATACAACGCTGTAACCGGGACGTGTCCAGCTTTGCACTTCTGGTCGCCATTTCAGTGTTTGGGGATACCCACACCGCAGTAAAGACATCTCTTTGCTGCATATGTTTGTTTGTCACGAAAATCCAGGCTGGTGAGGAAATTTCATGACTGGTAGCATTTTACCCTGCGCTCATCTTGTTGGTGTGGATTTGTTCCAACCTATTTTCATCATCTGTCAACCCGGAAACCTTTGCGATCCAGAATCGCGGTTTTCACGATACGTATGAAATTGCAAAAGCAAGCCTGTGCTAAACGTAGAACTGTAGTAAAGAAACTGAGGAAACTGACTCCAATCGCAAACATCTCCAGGTGCAAATTTGTCTGTGCTCGCAAATCGCGAACTAAAACCAACGCTAACGTTTCAGGGTTTACAATGCTGGCGAGCCGACTGGATAACCGGGAAGAGACTATCCAATGAACCTACTTTGTTTTCTGTTTTCTTGTGCAGGACTACATCTTCCATCTGCTTACCGCCTACTATGATGCCCCTGAGGGCGCGAAAGTGGGTGAGGGGCAGCACTTTAACGCCTACTTTCCCGGACACTCGATCGGCATGGCCAAGGCGCTATACCCTGGCGTCATGGAGTACGAGGAGGGCGACGGTACGTGTTGCCTTGTGTGTGTGTGTGTGTGTCATGGGCGTGTAGTGCCACCAAATTGGACATCTAATTGTATGCAGCGTGTAGAGCATGTGGGTCATACTATCTTTTCTCAGTCATCATTTTTGTTTTTGCATATAAGAAAATGCTTGCATTTACATAGAAAGCAGGAGAGAAAAGCACCCGAGGGAGTGACAGAGAGAAACAGTACACTTTCGATCATACGACCATCTTATTCTTTTTATGCACGAGATTACGGTATGCGGTGCGAATTATCACACACTTGTAGCCAGTTCTGCAGTGCTGCACCGCGCTGTACGATCATACTGTGATACAACGATGCTCCCTTCAGGATTTGGGAGAGGCAGGGGGCTCTGGCTTGATGTTATGTTGTATGATGTACTACAGTCAACTTCGCTTATAACGACACGCGGCGGGGCATCAGAAAAGTGTCCATATTCGCGAAGTGTCGTTATACCCAAAGTCTCATTATATGTGTTACAGTTGGATGGGACTTTGCTCTGGGCATGAACATTCTGTCGTTATTCGCGAATTGTCGTTATATCCGCAGTCGTTATTAGCGAGGTTGACTGTATGTGTTCACCGTTTTCTTTTTGTCAATGTTCCGCTCTTGGTGGTGGTGATGGTGCTGATAGCTGAGCTGATGCTGATCCTGTTGTTTTGTTCTTGTAGATACAACGCCCACAGTCAGTCAGATGGCTAAGGACGTTGCAGAATTCCTCGAGTGGTCATCCGGTACGTGTTGTATACGCTGCTTGTAGCTGTGTGTTACATACAAATTTGAGTGCATTCTATCTTTGTTTTCATTGTTGTGGCTGGAGACATGTCTGTTGAACGGTCTCTGCTCGGGTGACGACAGTGGAGCGATGATAGCGAACAAGCTGTTAGGCGTAGCAACTCGTGCTGGGACCACTACACCATTCACCAGCTTGCAAGGCTGATGAATTGATCGCCACTAATTTTAGCCTGACTTACAGTTTCTACACACGCATGTGCGCGCACGCACACACACTCACTCACACACTCTCACACACACACACACTCATGAACGCACACACATACACACACACACACACACACGCACATACACACACACACACACACATGGAATGGAGGCCAAAATCCGTTGTAGGAGCGGAACTCCTCTTTTATTCATATTGTATATAGGAGTGCACATGCAGTGCATGTGCATGTACTATGCAATGCATTGGGATTTGCAGAAACCAAAACGATTGGGAACCGTGCGTCGTGGTCGCATGTGTCGCATGTCGTGCATTGCATAGCGTCAAGTGGTATTGTCAATGGGGCTTTAATTAGCTTTAAATTGTCTGTCATTAACTCGTTGACTTGTTCTTTTTCCGCTTTCTGCTGTTCTACAGCTCAGTACAATGACGATAGAATGCGGCTTCTAACGAAGGTATGTGTGTTGCCATGCTCTAAATTTGTTTTCCCTGTGTGTTATCAACAGTAGTTATACACTGTGTGCTTGTGCATCTCGGTGTGTGTTCACCGAGTTATCTGTTTGTATGTAAAAACATGTTGCCCTGGTTGAAAATCAATGCGGCTCGCGACTAGCCTAGTCTAGGGTGATTGCATTGATCAGTGAAAATCGATCACTGTAAGAAAGGATTCTGCCCTCTGCCGAATGGAACCTGCATTTTAGGATATGCAGACGGAGTGCGGACTGGGAGAGTGTTGTGATCTACGTGCTACTTTTTCAACTGTGGGACGAATGCAGCTCGCAGTGTGATAGCTTGTGCGGGTGCTGGAACGTACGAATTTGCTTTTACATGCGCACACTACGGCCTGGTTCCCACTCTACAGTCCATTCATAAAAAGATGGGCTCTGGCTCTGGCGAGCTCCCGTATTTGGCGATTTTTCGTGATTTCATCGTACACAGTGCAGTGCTGCGAAATTTGAAATTTGAAAAAGGGTCCAAAAAGGGTACCTGAACTGGGGTTCGAACCGCACAATGCACGTTTGCAGGCGGGGTCAAACGGCCTGGATTTTTATGGTTTTTCCCAATTCAGTGCTGTTGGGGCAAAACCTGGCCGAAATTCTATTCTTGTTATGGCTTGCTTTTTGGACAAAAAAACTTCAGAAACATAATTGGAAGAGGATTCCATAGGGGATTGCAGAAAAAATTCTAAAAAAACTCAAAGTTTGACCCATTTATGGCCAAAAGCTAGAAGTCCATCTTTTTCTGAATGGACTGTAGGAGCCTTCTTCCTTTCGCCAGCACTCTCACTAATTTATGTTATTGCTCTCTCTCTCTCTCTCTCTCTCTCTCTCTCTCTCTCTCTCTCTCTCTCTCTCTCTCTCTCTCTCTCTCTCTCTCTCTCTCTCTCTCACTCTCACTCTCACTCTCTCTCTCTCTCTCTCTCTCTCTCTCTCTCTCTCACTCTCTCTCTTTCGCTCTCTCTCTTTCTTTTTCACACGCACACACACATACACACCCACGCACACACACCCACGCACTCTCTCTCTCTCTCTCACTCACTCACTCACTCACTCTCACTGATTTATATTATCACTGCTGCCTGTGTGTCTGCTTCCAGTTTGGTATCGCCATCGGCCTCCTGGCTATGGGCTCCTACTTCCTTCAGCGCCGCTACTTCGCCAGAGACTTTAGCAAGCGAGTCATTTACAGTGAGCTACCCAAGAGAAAGTAAAGCAGCATTTCAATATACATAGTCCAATAAAAACCATGCTCTGTATTTTCCGCTTTCTGTATTGCAGCAACCGTGACGAGCGTTAGGGTGGCTGGTAGGGGTGATGAGAGTGTTCATTTTTGACACATAGATCACTTGTTCTCACCGACTGATCGAGGACTCGATCATTTTGAGTGATTCATGAAAATTACTCTAGTGCGCATTCAGTTTGTTTGTCAAGCGCTTTATATTTATTGGTTCTGCTTGCGGCCTCCGCATTTCTTGGAAAATGCCAGACGATCCTGGTAGTATTTTATGGTCCGTTGTCACTGGTGATGTGCGGCTATGTGTGCATCAGCTGCCTGCTTTTGCAGCTGTAATTGCCGCATACATGCCTCTGTGTGTACGTGGGGGGGGGGGGGGGGGGACAGGGAGGATAGTTGTGTTTAATACAGCACTGGCCAGTGAACTTCACCTGGCTTCAGTGCCTAGCCCTAAGCAGAACGGCTCTGGACGCCCTGAGCCCTGTACTGAGTTTGGTTTGGCCGAAAGCTATTGCTTACCCTCTTGACTCTTGATGTGCAGTGGAGTCGCACGCTGAAGAATGCGGGTCAAGCACCCCCAGCCTGAAATACTGCAAAAAAAGTTGTAAGTGTGCGTTCTCATTTTCTCTAGCTTCCGGGAGAAATTTCTCCTAGAGTAGAAGTCAAAGAAACTGGAATAATTCGGGAACTGGTCTCGAAGAATTGGGAGATCTTTTCCACATGTGAAGCGCCAAAGGGATCTTGAGGGACACGAATGTAGTTCCCACTGTCTCTCTGTGCGTATGCGAAAAGGTAATGGCGTTGATTCACATATCGCCGGGAGTGGGCCTCTTGCAACCTATCCCGGGGCATTGCGATCAATATGTGAACCAGTGCAGTTGTAACAAAATCATACGGTAAAATGTCGCAAGGGACTGCTGGCAATCTTGCGATCTGCCCCGGCCCCGATCCCGTAGAATTTTGACCAAACGTGGTTTGTGAACCGTTGCCGGGAGCTGGACTTTGTAAAAGTTTCAAACCAAGACTCATCCTAAATTTCCTAAAATTGAATCTAAAGATGAGGTCCGTTCGCCATTAATGCATTCTTGTAGTCGTTTCAAGGTGGCAAATTAAGTCCGCATACCAACCCGTCCTTCTCGGATGATCTGCTTGACTGTTGTGCAACTTATGAGACAAATACAATTGAAATAAATGAAAAATACGAAGGATACATAGACAAATTCGTGTGACTTCATCAACGTTTGCACGCATACCGGTTTCGACACCACCGCTTACTAGACTGCAATAAAAGGTGTAGAAGTAGTTTCATGATCTCCAGTAAAAGGTAGCACCGAGTGGCCATCACCGAAAGACCTTGAACTACTGAAGAAACAAAGAATTCATGCTTCATTTGGCAAATCTGTCGTAGCATTTGGGCACATTCTGTACTACTTTGTAGTAGGGCTGAAAGGAATATTCGAATTATTCGAATATTCGAAATGTGCAGACCGGAAAAAGAACATTCTTCGTTAAAGTAGAATAAATAAGAATATTCGTAAATGTACAGAAACTCGCCTTTTTGGTACCGATCAGGCTTATTTCGTGACAAATGATGACAATGCCACTTTCACACATCTCTCTTGTAATCGGGGTACACACCAGTCAATGGTCTATGGTTACCATGGATACAACAAGGTATCCATGGATATTGTATGGTTAAGAATATTCGGAATATTCTTCGTTTCACATGTATTCGGAAAAGGAATATTCGTTCGCTTCATTGAGCATTCGTTTCAGCCCTACTTTGTAGTAGATTTGGTACTCGAACCGTATGCGCAACGGATCGGGAGCTGGCTCACCGCCGATGTCTTGGGGCGCCGATTTCGCTTGTAACGTAGGGAACACATGGAGCTGCACACTGCACACTGCACACAGTGGTATGCGCTCGTGCGTGATAGACAGTTTGCCGTCTTCCAGAAAAAGGAATTTTGCTCGATACTGCATAAAACTGTAGTGCGGTTACTCCACTGCGAGTAACACCAAGAGTAACCCTTGGTTATATACTCTTGGTCACATTTCTCTGTCTCTGACGAAGCATGCGGATGAGCAGCAGTCCGACAGGATGCAGTTCGCACGACCAAATTTCATGGCGTGAAATCCGGAAAGCGTCACTACAAAAATTATCAATGCAAGGAGTCTTACTGTTCGATATTTATAAACACGATCACACAAATCTAGGATATATAATTATTATGTTGGTGCCCTTGATCAATGAACTAAACTAGAACTAAACCAACGGTAGCTTTGACGGATGACCTATGATGTTCAATTCTCATAAATTGTCACGAAACCGTTCACATACTGAAGTGCACAAGCTGCACAAGACGTGCACACTGAAAGCTACTGGTCGTACTCGCTTCGTCCATCAAATTCAAGTTTAGAAGGCCGTGTACAACAATGTATTCATCTCTGAACGAGGAAACTGCTAACTAGGCACCGTATTTGCCTGATATCCAGATTGAAGTATTGTTTTCGCTCCCGAACCGGTATGCGTTCAATTCCGTGGACGTAGGTCAACATACGTTATCAGGTCTGGTCGAGTATAAGCCAGCTCAAGTTCGGATTTGATATAATAATTATTGCATGTGTTTCAAAAGTAGAAAATGTATTGTACCACATTTTGGAAGTAATAGGGTTTTGTACATGCAGAAGACTTGATCCTATGCTTTATATTCGGTAGTGAAGTAGTCAGTGATGCAGTCCTCATCAGAACTCCCGGAAGAGTCGCTTCATTACCCGACCAATGGGGAAGGAGCTCGTTGCCCAGAATCGAGGTAGTGGTGCCGGCTCACTGGCTGGCCTGTGACGAGCTCCGTCTGGTTGTGGGCTGGGCAGTGGCAGGCCGAATACCACATACCGCTTGCCGGATGTCGGCTGTTCACAGCAATGTGCCAGTCCAGACATGTCGAGAAGTAGAGGCGTGCCGCGGCTGCGACCAGTCATGTGCAGCACCGCTTCACTGGTGCAGTTTTCTAGGCAGAACAAAGCATTAGTAACTGTTACAGCTTGTGAAGCACTCGAATGTGCACAAGCATGGACAAATTATCATGAAATTCAGATTCAGATAATGATCACCTTAGTGACCATCCGTAGCCGTTGCCATGTATCGCAGGCATGCTAGCCGTTCCCTTTCTCAGGGGCATAGCAGCTGGTCCGGCCCGGCCGGGCGCCAGACCAATTTTTCGCCCGACCACGTTTTTTTAACCTAATTTCAAAATTTCCCTGGACCCCCTCCGGCCGGACCACCTCCAACGGCGGTGCTACGCACCTGTTCTACAACCTGAATTTCCTGAAAGACCTGCACATTGTACTGTTGTGCTCAGCGGGGGGCTTGCGACTAGCTGGTTTGGAGGTGCCAACGTTGTGAACGATCACGATTGCCGAACACATATTCTTCACATGCGTTGGGCACAGCTGACTCACACCGCTGTCTTATGTTCACGAGGCATTTGCCTTGCCGGAAACTGGCCGTCTCTGTAAGTCTGTATTTCTGTTGGGCCCGGAGAGCACCACATTTGTAGTTCTCTCCAGGCCCAAATCTCCTCAATCAGCCTCCTAATAGACACCCTTAGCAAACAACGTTATGTTGTAACGGTATTATCGTAAGGGGGAAAATACCGTGATTTGGGTTCGACCTTTAGCAAGATGCACGCTATTTTTAGTACGCTGTTGCCACGAGAATAGCTTTGATTTCGCGCTGTACAACCATTTTTGTCACCACATACGCGATACAAGGTGAAATGCGTACGGACTATGCAATATTTGGCTAAAACACGTACCGTTGGTCACAACGATAAATCAGCCCCCATAACGTTTATACGCTGCAGCTTCAACGCTATTTGGGTGATCAAGGTACGAGTACCGTAAAAAATAGCGTTACCGTTGTTTGCTAAGGGTGTCTATTGATCAAGATCAACTGTTGTCCCGTGAAACACTGTGTGTTGAATGAGAAGATTTCAGTGGTGCACTTTTGTAGGTTTGTTGAATTTAGGGCTAGATGGACTTCCCCGATTCCTAGACTAGTAGAGGGTAGCCGCGAGTCAGTCAATTGTCAAGTCATGTTGGCGCAAAAGGCGCTTGCTCTAACACGGCACGAGCAACCCAACTTTCTCCCAGTTTAAATACACATGTACAGACCTTTGCCGAAGCTGTGCAGCCCTATAGGGCTACATGTAATACTACAAAACGGGCTGAGCAGTGACCGCGGAATTGCTGTTGGTAATGTTTGTTCACGGTTATTAACATGTAGAAGACAGTAGAACTGCAGAACGAGAGAAATTCGATTTATGGAGACAAATGTTCAGGTTTATAGCTGAGCATGATGGGATTTCAAGAGCAGATGTTAGCATCATTTTTAGAACGACTATAACACATACCTTCCTGGCCTTCGCAGTAATCTGGCTCCTTGAGCACCTCCAGTAAGCGCACGGCATACAGGTCCTGTCGCGTGCTGGCAAACTCCATGAGGCCGGAGGTTCTGCACTGCTCACTGGGACAGTTCACATTGCACAGCTCCACAAGAACACCTGTGTCACACAGCAGACCAGCAGCAACAAAAGCTATAAACGAAACAAAAACACAAAAACGATGATCACCTGTGACCACTGTGATAAGCTATGTGTGACCCAGAAGACCAGCAGCAAACAAAACGTAACCTGTAACCACTCTAATGAGATAAGCCCTGGGGTTCCTCCATCTTCTTAGCCCCCACACCCCATCCCCCCCCCCCCCCCCCAACCCCCATCCCCTCCCCACTGGCATAGTGCACCTAAAGTCAAGAGCCACTCTCAAAAATTGGACATATCTATTTTGAGATTCGCATTCCTTTTTGACTCACCATTCGATGTTTTGTCAAAGTACTTCCTGACATGTTTAGCACGTGGGCAGCCTACAGCAAACAACACCAAAGGGTTATCAATATTTAAACAGTTTCCGTGGAGATTAGAATGATATATTTGATAGATTTTGCTCATGGTTTTGTACTGAGTGCGCAACTCACTCTTTTCATTGGCTATCCATTATCATTGAACATATCTCCACTGAATGTATAGTTATACCAGCTCATCAGGATTGGATCATCACGTGCGATAACGTTAGAGGCATACGAATGTCCTACACCGTTGGGTGTTTCATCGAAATTAAAAAGGCATTTTAAAGCAACCAAAAATTTAATCACACACAGCAACAAAGTTGCCAATTTGGTTACTCAGTCAACTGCCAAAAGCTATTCAACCCATTATCATCAGCCGGTGGACACATGGGAATGAAAAAAAGAAGAAAAAAGTCAGAACCATCTAATCTAATTAATATATAGTAATTATGCTCCAGTGGAAGGGCACATAATGAGATTTAGAACGCGTTTATAGTGAGGGCGGTGACGTATATACGGATGTGAAAAACTCAGCCCCTAGCCGAGTCTCAGGCAAACTGTGAATTTGTTTGTCATAAACATGTCAACTACCCCACTGCAGTACTATGCATGCAGGGAGTTTCATGTGTTGATTAAAACTTGCATCTTGCTGGCAAAGCCAAACAGTTACAGGTACCTGTGATTGCTTTCCGCCTGCGGATGTTCAGCTGCTTTCGATTGACATGGCGAATGAATTCATCCATTGTCTGACCGGCACGGCGAGATTCAAAACTTGCATTGGCAGTGCAGCTCAGCGTTACTACGCAGTCCAGCGATGGCAATGTGCCGTCTCGGTCAGCTGCAACAGAAAGATGCGGCTGGCACTGTATGCCGATATCACGCCTAGTGGAATCTGCTTGGGAAAACAAAATAAACAAACAAAACAAACATTATGCTTTTGTCACTTTCCCCCATAAACATGCCACAATGTGTTGGGGAAGGATTAAAATCGTTCCCAAACTTTCGGCACATTTTGGCATGTTTCTGGTGGATCAACAAAGTCATAATTTGAGGAGCCTCAGCTAACTCCGACTGAATTTCTTCTCCATACTATACCACATATACCACATACAAAGGATCACTGGGCTGAGCAGAACATATTGCAAGCTATCCACCTTGAAACCATGCCGCAACCTAAAGAGGTGGCTCCACTAGCTTATGAAGGACTGTTCCATAAAATACACCAACAGCTAAAGAATAGTATTTGTTGCTACACTCATGCCCTACTGGCTAATAGTGCTACTTCATACATAGTCTGCGAGTAGGCATTAGGGACCGGCGGATTCTGCTCGAAAATGTGGCAGATTCTGCTCGAAAAGCAGTGAAATTGGCAGAACCATACAAATCTTATGGCGGGCAATTCCTCGAATTCTGCTCCATTTTTTTATCCACATACCAAACATGCCTGAAACGTACCAGAAAAGTACCGAATTCTGCCAATTTTTCTGCCGGAAGAATCCGCCGGACCCTAGTAGGCATGACATGTTCATACAGCTTTCAACTGAAACGGCATGGGTACAGAACCATGACATGAGCTTTTAATTTTATGCGGTCATGTCTTTACCAACAAGACTGCCGGCTGTGCATGCACTTCAAGTTTGAGCATTCCTCTGAGAGAAGACCACTTCAGGTCACTTTGCCTGCAGCATGTGCAGGCACTGTTCCCCGCCACAAGATGTTTGTTCTAGCCTATATTTAATTTTTACATTTGTCTGCAGATCTTTCAAGTCATGTCACTTTGCAACCAGGGTTTCCCTAGGCCCTTTGCAATGCTAATAAGTAGGCCCTTCACTGCAATTTCCTTATCATGATTATTGTATTAGATTATAAGCAACTGCCCAGAATTTTCTTGGTTCATGTCATTACTGGTCTAACTCACTAGTAGTTCTGTCCACTCTCTGTGAAACTCCATTATCTGGGAAGAACTGGTTGAAAAGGACCTATTGACTAGTGTAGGTCCTAAACAGTGCTAACACGATTATTTTTCAAGTCGTGTAAGCCAGTCCGTGCATGCAGGGTGCCCGCATGTTTAGCTGGACACACAGTACAGGAACGAACGCCTTGCGCACGCCTTGCCGCGGTTCGTGTGACGGACGGCGCCAGTGGGACCATGTAAACATGAGTACTACAGTACTGTACAAAACTCAGAGGTGTACCGTGTAGCGTGCACGCGTGCAGTGCAGCGCCGGAAACCAGCGACCCGGTGTCATCACAGAATGTACGTAACGTCGTTTGTACTTTGAACCCGGCCCGACCTCAGCTCCACGACACGGAAAGGGTGTATTTCATTGTCGGGGCCTAGGGCCCGAAGGAACACGACGTCGTCGACAACGAACTCAGCGGCCTTTGAGATTTGTTCATTTTCGATGCGAGCAAAGGCCGGAAGGTTTATCAGTATTCAAGGTTTTCTTTTGCAAAGTCTTTGCGAAGGAAGAACAATTCATTCGTTGTCGATGACATCCAATGGATTGGAAATCGCAAACACCCAAACAATTTGCACAACATTTACACTAACTTACACATCCATGCTCAGGGTGCATGTACGACTCGTAGTCGCCTCAAACGGAAAATATCTGCACGCCTAGTTGAAGCAAGTAATGTACGACTGAGATTAGCACAGTTTGAACGAACACTGGAGTCTGCAAGCAGCTTTGCGGCATCAGCTTCCAAACATTACACTTTTCAGGACCTGATCATAATCCTCGTTCATGGTGTAGAATGATGATCTACATGACCGTGTGCAGCTTGTGCTTACTTTTGGCGAAGGTGATGAATCCAGTCTGGGTGATGTATTGCGTTGTCGCGTTGCCTTTGTGGCTGACGACAAAGTGAGTTACACCGTCTCTTTCCGTCACCCGGCGGCTGTAGAGCTCCCAGCCATGCGTCACAGCTCCTGGTCTTGATGCGGTATACACCACCTCTCCTCTGCCGTCCGTCACCAAGTGCGCGCCACATTCATCTGCACACGCGTGTAGCCCATTGGGGTTGGCTTGCCAGAGCCGAACTTCCGCTCCCTGCACCGGCACGACTTGAGCGACGTCCGAGCACGACGGAGGTCCGACCACGCGGAGATTGACACGCACTGCCGGAGGTAAACGGCATAGGCGGCCGGAGTTGGGCCGTTGGCCTCGCAGCGAACGGCAGCTACCACCGCGATATCGGCAGCTGCAGGTCGGTGTGCTCAGAGCATAGGTATGGTCGAGCACAGCTTGACTCGACACAATCCTAACGCTATCTGGGACGAGCTGGGAAGAGGAGGGTGCTACCGCTACCAGCGCCACATACGACAGCAAGACACAGGTGAGGGCAAACATCATCTTGTGAAATGGATACACTAGCAAAGAATACCCTTGTCACCGATTATATCCACTTTGGGCGACTAGCTAGTTGTCTGGCTTCACCAGGTAAAATTAAAATCAGACTTCGTGTACGACAGGATATTAGCAAGACGTCTTTCCTGCCACAAGCGTTGCGGACGGGGATTATAAACTAAGATTTATCTGGGTTTCCGCCCATCAACTCACCAACCTAAACTGGAGGTCGCCAATTCTTAGCTACAGCTTTATCGTCTCATGCTGATTGAACTCATAGCGCCATGAAAAGCAGGCACGCTCGAACGTCTATAGCTTGCATGATTGTAGTGTAGGAATTTCATAATGGGACTTGAGTTGCGTGTTTACATAATAAATAGGCCCATACCGTATGTGTCGTCGGCGTACATCATGTATGGTGGTAGATCACTACAATGTAGATGTCATGATTGTATCACGTTTGTATGAGTGAGTGAGTAGAGAACCACATTCTGTGTTGGATCATGTGGCATTGGTACTGATCCCATTGGCATTGGCATTGTATTGTTGACCTTGGCTTGGGTTTGCTCTCGGAGTCTCGGAGGAGATCTACGGGACTGAAGAGTATGGACTTACCAGGATGTGGCGTAGTGACATTGCCATGCACACCATGTGACATCACGGGTATTTTGTTTGTACCAGTGCATGGGTAGGTCTACTGGCAGGTTCCATTACCTGAGGAGCCAGACATCAGTCCAGAGCAGAAGTCCAGTGGCCTCACTGGCCTGTACTGTAGACTCTCAGCCCTCGATCATTTTGGACATGGTCCGGCTTGCCAGCCAGCTGAGCCTTAGCCTAGAACCAAGTGCTGCCACTCCAAATTCATAGGGATGCATTGTTTTCTCATTGTATGCATGCGCACACCCACACCTACGCAAATAATGTATAGGGAGATACATGACTTTGTACTTATATTCGTCAGGCTGTGGGTGTCACTGTGACTGGACACGAAGTCACAGAGATTACTGGGCTGGAGGCCATGGCAACAGCGTGTGCCTGCGAGCATGGAGGAGGCCACAGGTAGTTGTTTTTTTTGGATCTTTCCATTGAGGTCTGTTTGATACAACCACACTGTCCATAGGAAACGAACACATCAAACATAGCAAAATGTACTGGAGCTGATTACAAATTTAAAGGGGAAGTTGAGGCAAACATTAAAATTTCACCAGTTGTAGTCTTCGGGGTGCTGAGTCGAATGGTCGTGGTCCGAGGAAGCTGAGACGCTCCCTTCCTACTTGAATCCCAATCGAACTCGCGCACTTCCACCGAAACTGGGTGACTGCGCCCTACTAGATGGGGATTTGTATGCAAAATGTCACTAAAAGCGCCATTTCGTTCTTATAAAAGCACGGATGACCGCGATTGGCCCATATGTTGTAGTCTTTTGGACGCTGAGTCGACTGGTTTTGGTCCGAAAAGGCTGCGATGCAGCGTTCCTCCTTTATTCCCAATCGAACATGGTTGAACAAGCGGTCACGTGCTCCTGCGTACACCAGTCACCTGGTCACCGTGCCTGCAGGGTACAACTTACTAGCCTGTTTGACCTTTTTTGGGTGCAGTCCTGTCACTCGAGTTGAACCTTGGTGTGAAAGTTGTCGCCTGCTGGCGTGGTGACCAGGTGATTTGGGCACCCAGGAGCACGTGACCGCTTGTTCAACCATGTTCGATTGGGAATAAAGGAGGAACGCTGCATCGCAGCCTTTTCGGACCAAAACCAGTCGACTCAGCGTCCAAAAGACAACAACATATG